GTTAAAATAATGGTCCTTTCGTATTGGCTTGTTAAAAGTAATTTCAAATAATCTTTCTGCCAACAGAATTAATATACCTTATATGGTATTAAAAAGACTATTAGAAAGTTAATAAGAACATTCTCTCAAAAGAATGGTTTGGTATAGTATATCCGAATTTACCCATCTAACGCAGGATATCTCATTGTAATTATTTTCGAGAAAAAGCAGATAATTACTTCCTTCGCTATTATTCTCATACAGCGAGGAGCATCTATTTGGACGCTCTCATACATACAGGCGAGGAGCATCTATCTATTTTACCCAAAATAATATTTTAAATATTGTATGATGCTATTAAAGATATAATTGATAATGTCCAGCTTTACAAATTCTATACTGGAATGTTGTCCACAGAATTAGATACAGATAAAGGGTCAAAAAATTACTTGAAATTAGAACTTAGATATATTTTTGGATTTATTATGAATTTTATAATTGAAGAAAAGGATGAAATATTTAAAAATAATATTTTAAAAGGTTTATCATTTTATTGGAAAAATGAAGCATTGGAAAAAATGAAAACAGATGGTGGAAGAGTAATTATTGAATTAAATAATTATGCTTATAATTTAATTAAAATAAAAGAGAAAAATGATCCATTAAATGAAATTGCAAATACTCTTAATTCTGAAGATATACAATCAGGAAAATATACAATAACAAAGAAATGTCCAGATGATTTAATTAGAATGTACAATGAAAATGAAGATTTTAGACATTTTATGAGAAATTCTAGAGGAGCTAGATATAATTTATTGCAATATTTAATGCGGACAAGCCAATTTGTTGAAATTTTGTTGGATGAAAATGATCCAATTAGACCTTTGATAAAAATAGGTAGATAATTTAAATTGACATCTTTACTTTGATGTCAGAAAATTAAAATTTAAAAAAATATTGTGGGCAACAAATATTTATAAAATAAAGAAAGCCAAACTCATATCACCAAATTCATGTTACTCTATTACAGTGGAATCTTGAAAATGCATGAGTGTCATGTAATTAGTGAACCGTACTATAGTGATTTAACTGTATTATGTGAATAAAGCTATTAACAGCCGTTTGATATTATTTTTCGGTAATTAAGGAATGTAGAGTTGATTAGATTTGTTTGAGTAGAGAGAGGTGTAAGCTAGAGTTTGCATCTAGCCAAATTTTATATTCCATCAACCTTATATTTATGTATAGATATTTTACGTCAAAATTAATTTAAAATTAATTTAAAAAAATATTTTTTAAAGAAGTAACAGAAAAAGAATTATTAAATCAACTAGAAGGATTAATTCCAAATATTTTTAAACGTGAAGATAACTTTGAAAATTATAGTGAGGATGTAACAATTGATATATTAATATATATTTATTGGTTAGATATAGACTTTAAGGACTTTAATAAAGGAGAATTCGAAAAAGAATGGATTAAAATAAGGGAAATTTTTTTATTTTTTGTTGATTTTATTTTTGAAAAGGATGTTGAAGAAATATTAGATAATGCAAAATTGTGTTATAATATGTTGTATAAACTTAAAGAATTTTCTTCAAATAAAATGGATTGGATTGAAGAAAAGGTTTTTTAATTCAAAAGAATGATAAAAAAATTATTTTAGGACTCAAAAAATATTCTTTTAAATTTACTCGATGTTAATGAATTAAAAGCTCTTGTTGATCTATCATTGGAGGAACGAGAGTTTGTAGATGAAAATGAAATTAATAGACAGATATCCATTATGAGTAATAATCTAATCAGTAAATTGAAAAAGGAACGTCCATTGTTTAGACAAAAAATGGAAGGTGATTAGAATTTAAATATTTTAGTTTAACTTTAGTCGATTTTTAAATACAATCCGACCCGACATGATCGAGAGTGTGTTGCGAAATTAGGCAAAAAGTTGCACGACCTGAAAAGACAAAATCATTTTCTAAAATTATATTTAATTTATAATAAAAAATTATATTAAACTAAAAAATTATTTGTTAAGAGCTAGAAGAAATTAATGGAAAAAAATTAGCTTTTCTAAACGGCAGAATAGTAGTTGATCTTGACCAAGGCATTTTAGTAAATTTAAAATTAATTAATTAAATAAATATCAATCTATTTTTAACAGGAATATGACCGAGCAAATTTTAAATGTTTAGATACAAAGCAAGAATTGAATATAAAGGAAGGTAAAAATTTTAAAAATATTTTCACTGCCAATACACGGAGCCTTCCCAGTTTCACCCTTTACCTAGCACTTTCGAAATCAGTTTCGGCCAGTACCCAGTATATTTAAATAATTACAAATGAGCCTTATTATGACACACTCAATAGAAAATACCATGGGTGTACCGAAACAGATTTTAAAAAGCGAAAGTAAATTAAAAAAAGCGAAGGCGAAAGAGATTACATAAAATTTGATCTAATACCCTATCTCTATTTAGGATAGCAGGGTGTCCCTTTTACCTTATTTTGAGGCATTTGCCCCTTTTTTGGCCTTCTCGCCCTACTTTTTCCCCTTTTCTATATTGTCCCCTTTTTGATCTTTTCTGAAAATGGAAGAAATTTGCCTTCTAAAATTTACAAAATTTTCTTCTGCGGCGCTGGAAAAAGAAAGAAAGTTTTTAAATATAAAGCAAGTTTTTATGGTATCACGACTTTTGCGCCGAGAACATTTGCGCCGAGAACATTTGCGCCGAGAACATTTGCGCCGCGACTTTTGCGCCGCGACTTATGCGCCGGGGGACTTTTGCGCCGCGACTTATGCACCGAGCGACTTGTGCGCCGCCATAATTTTAAAAAAATAATATCTACAGAGGGACCTAATTATAGGGTACTCCTTAAAAAATGGTATCCAGGAGCTGAAGGAATTTCAGGAAGTGCAATATTTCGGGAAGTACAATAGCCCCTCTAATTAAACGACCCCCTAGAGGAAGGTTAAAAAATAAACCAACCCCCTAGAGGGCTCATCTTCAAAGAACTTGACTTTTTCGGATCAGGATATTTAGTCTGCTACCTCTATTCAAGCATGATTTTCTGCCAGAAGAGGGTGCACTATAGTGTAGGGTTGTCGGGTCCAGATATCCGGATCTGAAAAAGGCCGGATAACCGAAAATTTTTGGTCGGATATCGGTTCCGTATCTTGATATACGAAGATCTCCAACTATCCTACATCTTCTAAAGTGAGGTCCGGCTGTAGTTTTTCATAATTATTAATGATAGTGGCGGCGCAAAAGTCGTCCGGCGCAAAAGTCGCGGCGCAAACGTCGCCCGGCGCAAAAGTCGCGGCGCAAACGTCCCCCGGCGCAAAAGTAGCTCGGCGCATAAGTCGCGGCGCAAAAGTCGCGGAACCGTTTTTATAATAATGCCTCCTATTTTGCCCCCTTTTTGGCCTATTTCTTCACCTTTTTAGGAGGCCATCCCTCCTTTTGGTAATTTGTAAAGGGACACCCTGATAGACAGATAAAATGCAAGGACAGTTTTATTTATTTTAAACAGGTGAAAAATTGTTTTCCATGTATAAAGAGTATTTAATTGATAATACAAAGAAATCAATCCAAACAGAAAAATTTTATTTGATGGATTTAGATGCTTCAATAAATTTCTTTATAATTGAGATTGCAGCAATTTTAAACAAATTAAAATTAAATAAATTATTAGAAGAAGAAGAAATTAATAAATTAATGAATGAATGGAACATTATATTATTGAATAATGAAAAACAAATGGAAATTGAAACTGATAGTCAATTATATTTATGTGAAATATATGTTTTTGCTAATAAAAATTTGTTTAAAAATAAATTAATTTATAATTTGAAATTAGAAGAAATTGAGAAATTGGTTTGTTTGTTTGTTGAAAAAATGAAATTATTACCCCCCCCCCCCCCCGAAAACTATGATGTTTTTGGGAGCAGATAGTAATTTATTAACTATCAATTAGGAAATCTCCTAAAGATCGTGCCAAAAAGAGCTTTGGTCAAATTTTGTCCAAAATAGTTCAATCAAAGCGTTGTTTGATCGTTTTTAGAAAAAAACCCAAAATTTTCAGAAATAATTTGATCAAAAAATGAACTAAATGTGGGTTTATGTAGATGCTGAGTAACTGAAATTTTGTGGCTTTAGCGCCTCTTTTCTATTGGTTTCGGCTTCGGGTATTTTCAAAACATATCTCCGTCTCCTGCCGATTCCGACTACATAGATAGCTCCATTAATTATTCCAATATATTAAATTTAAGAAACAAATAATGGAAATTGAAGAAAATGAAGATGAAAACTTAAAATGTACTCAAGATAATTTTAAAATAATTTCCAAAAAATTATTCGAATCCAGACTTCCAAATGAAAATCATTTTGATTGCATTGATTGGTTCTTAGAAAATTTAGAAATATTTCGTCAATTAATTTGTAATTCTGAAATTATTTTAATAAAAACATTTTTGGTTAATCTTGTCGACAAAGAAGGATTATTAGTATTAGAATTAAAACATCCATCTGTTTTGCAAATTAGTTTGGTTTTTTTAATTTTTAAATTATAATTGAACTGTCAGAGGGAATAAAATTGTACCTTGATTGTATATAATTAAGGAATTAGAAACGTCCAAGCCTAGCAAGCCTAGCATCCTAGACTAGCAAGTAAAGCAAAAATGGGACTTCTGAGCGGTTAACAACCCTGTAGTGTTTCGCTGAAACCGCAAATTTGGCCGGAAGCGGAATTTTATAAACAAAGCGGAACTGGTACTTCCGGCGAAGCCGGAAGCATCGTGGACTTTGAAACCTTGCAGAAGGACATTGCTATTTTCTGGGATATTCGGCCGTTTTACTTTGTCTTAAACTGAAGTGGATTGTTTCTATTGTTTCTATCATATAATGAGACCCGACTATATTAAAAATAAATATTTTTTAAATACATATATTTAAGATGAAATCCAAAAAGATGTCCAAATATATTTATACAAAAATTACCTTCAATTTAATGAAAATATGCCAGAATCTTTAATGGCAGAAATACGTATTGCTATACCTTTATTAATTAATGAAATTACAATTTATGAGAAATTTACAATTCCAATTCCAAAAGCAGAAAAGATTTATTTAACAATTTTAGAGAGATCAAGATGGCTAAAAACAAAAATATTTAACAATATAACAGCACAAGGAGAGATTATCAATTCAGAAAATTTATGTCGCCTTTACAATTTTGTTAAATTCTCAAAGCCAATAATTAAATCTAAATTGGCAAGAATGGTACAATTAGAAGAAGGAATTAAAATTAATATAAAATATTTTGGAATAATTGATAAAAATACAAAAAATATAAAAATTAGTGCCAAAGAAATAAGTAAATGGACTGGGGATGGATGTTTAAATGAGGAAGAACAAAAAATAGCTTTTGAAGGGCAACGTTTATTACTTAAAGTTTGATATAATTTTAAATGAACAAATGATAATTAAAGCACTGGGCCAAAATCTTTTTGAGTTAACTTGAATCCAAACCCAATACCTTTATAATTGACTTGCTCAATCTTTGGTTGGCCAATACTAACCCGTACTTCATGGTTGATAACATTTGATCAACGAAGCCGTATCCGCACTCATATCGATATTTCATTTCTCTAAACTTCACTTCTTGTTTGATCCACTCTTTTTTATCAACACCTTGTATAGGATCAAATAGTCCTATAACCGATTCGAAAAATTTTCCTAGTTAGATACATCTCGCTTTAAGGAATTTCTTTTAATTTGGTTCTTCATTAGTTAAGAGAGGTGTCTAAGCGATAAAAGATTTAAATTTTATCGTGTATTGAGGTTTGACTCTAATAAAAAATTCATATGTTAATTTTTAATTAAGGAAGCACACAAAAAAATTTTTGAACAAAATTTCCTTGCTTTCAATAAAATATTAAACAAAAAGGGAAAAAAGTTTAGAATGAATAAATTACTTCCAGAATTTGTTTTGAAATTTGAAAATAAAAGTTTGTAGTGTTTTTAAAATTAATTTTTTAAAAATTTTTTTATAGTTTTTGAAAATCAAAAAGAACAAATTTCACATTTTATTAAAGCTTTATTTTCTTTAAATGAAATAGAAAGATTAGCTAATTTAATTGCTAATAATTTTTTTCAATGGAATAATTGGATGAAAAAACAAATTTTAACAAAATTTAATAAAAATAAAGAATATAATTTTTATAAAATTTGGTTTTCAGAAGAAACAATTTGGAGACTTTCAAATAAATATGATCAAATATTTGATATAACAGAGAAAGGAATGGAACAACTTGAAATTTTTGAACAAAAAATAATTAAAATACAAATGGGATTGAAATATTTATTAATTAACAAACAATTCTTTCAAATTAAAAATAATGATGGTACCTAAATATATTCAGTTCTCATTCTCTTTTCCCTTTTATTTTTCCCCAAAAATCATAAATGGTCAGAGGTGGATCAAGACGAGATCTCAAACAAAAATTTCGGTAATCGAGATCTTTCGAAAACATTTCCAGTTCAGTTTCTTCATAGAGTAAAGTAGCTGGGCTATAGCTATTTCTCTACTTAAGCTAGTGTAGAAGGTTAATCGGAGGCTGGGAGCGATCCAGCATATTCAGTAGACCAGACACGCCGCCTACTGCTTTTCAGAGAATTTGAAAAGAATAATCATAAGCATATTTTAATTTTTAACCCAAAAAATGAACATGCTCATATTTGTTTTAAGAATTTAAAAAGCCTGTATCTCGGTCCCTCCTTTTGACCATTTTTCTAATATTTGGAGAAAGGAGAAAAGGAATGAGACGATAAAGAAAATGAGGGACGGGTAACTAAAAAGTAACTAAAATAATTTAGAAATTAATGAAAAATGGGAAAAAATTGAAGAAGATAACGAGGAAAATTGGGATAAAAAATGGAATGTATTATTATTTTCAGAATATAATGAATGGATTAAAAAATTAAATATGAAATGGTTATTAAATAAATTAAATAAAAAATCTGATAAAGAAGAAATACAAATTTTGAAAAATATTTTATATAATTGTAAAGTTTATTTTTTAAATTTATTTTTAAATTTCATACAGAACCGTAGATATCGGGAAATAGAGGGAACAAACTTGAATAGAGCGTGCCGTTTTGAAAAATCATAACTGTGATTAACAGCGCTGCGTATTGAGCGTTTAGTGGTCTCGTCTGCGGGTTTAGAATATTAGCTTTTAATTATTAAGTTTAATTACTCTCTCGTTTAATGGAGTAATTATTTAGTAAATCCTTCAATTGCAGATCTGAAAAACAAAGAAACTGAAGAGATTAATCAATTTCTGAACAAAATAGTTGTGTTTACTCAGTTGGAATATGAGGGTTTGATGGGTTGTTTGGGATTGAAAGAGAATACAGAAAATAAAATTGAAGAGGAAGAAGAAGAAAATAAAAATAAATTAAAAATAAATAAAGAAAAAATAATAAAGAATAAAACGAAGAAAAATAAATTGACTAAAATAAAATCTACAAATCGAAAAAATAAAAAGGATAAAGCTAACAAGAAAATAAATACAGCCTTTATTTATAAAAATTTTAATAAAAATAAAATTGAAGAAGAAAAGGAAGGGGAAGAAGATGTAGAAAGAAAACAAGAAGAAAACGTAGAAGAAAAGAATGAAGAGGAGGAGGAGGAAGGAAGTGAAAATTATTTAACGGAAGTATCTGAGAATGAATCAACAGAAAATAGCAATTCAATCATTTCAACTAATTTATTTAGTACTGAAAGTAATTCTAATAGTGAAGAGATATTTGAAGGAAAGATTGATGAAATAAAAGAGAAGGAAAAGGTAATAGAAGATAATCTTGCTAATCTCCAAATTATGATTTTTAATAATATATTTTGATATTTAATTAAAATAATTTAAACTATAAAATCGAAATATATTTTTAGGATTCATTCAAAAATAAAATAGAAATTAATGATTGGTTGGAATCAGTCAATATGACAATATTTGGCTATGATTTAAACCGAAATATTAACACACAATATTTAGCCATGGAAAATAGTAGCTATTCTCAAGAATCTTTTGATTATGTTACTAAATCGGTAATTTAAAAATAATTAATTGTGAAAGTTGAGGAATTTTTAGCGGGATTTTTAGAGATATATTTGAAAGATTAATTCATACATATGTTGTTGACACTGTATTTTAGTGTTTTCTAAAAAATTAATGATAGGTAGATAACCTTAGATAAAGAGGATCAGTCGGATAAATAATTTTTTAATCTTTAGTTGAGTGAAGTGATTAGTGATCAACAATACATGTTTGAGAAACAAAATAAAAAATTGGATTCTGTAGATAATGCAATAAATTATTTAAAACAAATTTTAAATAAATGGGTAAATATTTGAATTTAAAAAATAATTATTTTAATTTTTAAAAAAAGGATAAAGATTCTCGTTTAATTATTTCTGGTTCACTTTTATTAAATGCCCAGATTTTTGGTTCAGACATTGATTGCCTTGTTGTTTTACCTAATAAACAAATAGAAATTAATAATTGGGAAATTATTTTTGAAGAAAAATTTTTTGGAAAAATTTCTAATAAATGTAACATTAAATTGAGAAAATGTGAGGAAGAAATGGATAATTCGCTTTATTGTTTACTTTGTAGAGTAAGTTAAAATTCTTTTTAATTATTATTCGAGTGATTGAATTTTTTGGGGTTGATTTGAGCATTTGAACAATCATAATAGGCGGTTGACGATGATAAGGTTGTCGAAGTGGCCGGCTTCGGACTGGAACTTTGATTTTGAAATGTTCGGAGACGGAGTACCTAGCACAGATGTTTCAAAATATTTCTAGTAAAAATTGTTCCCCCATTTTATGACTACATTAACCAAGATTACCTCTCTCTCCCTCTACTAATTTTATTTTATTTTTTTCAAAGGATGTCAGAATTCAATTTATCAAAGAAATTCCTGGTCGAGTACCTTTAATTAAAATTAATTTTCTTGGTTATGATTTTGATTTAATTTTTATTTTATTTTCAAAAAATTTATTTAACCAAATTAATTCAATTTATCAAAATAATAAACAACCAAAAATAAATGAAATTGATGAAATTATTGCAAAATTTGTTTTTGAATTGGGGGGACCTGAAGAAATAAATAATGAAAATAATAAACATTTTGGGATGGTTTTGGCACTTTCTGGTTATTTTTTTGTTATAGAAATTTAAATTAAATATTTATTTAAAGGTTATCGTTCAAATTTACAAATAAATTTAATGACAGAATACAACAAACATTCATTTCGTTTAGCATTATTAACACTTAAAGTTTGGGCAAAAAGTAAGTTAAAATAAAATTTTGCTTGGTTCGAAGCATGTTTTATTATAGAAAAAAGTTATTTTAAATTTATGAGAATTTATTTTAAAATCACTAAAAATCTTGGGAATATAGGAAGAGGGCAAAAGTTTAATAGCAGGCCAAGCACAGATCCTGTGACCTCCTAGCAGTCATTGTAAGGCGCCTACACCACTTTCATCTTCCTTTTTAATGATCTGGATCTCCCTTCTTCCTTACATTATTTAGAAATCAGATAATGTTCAGAAATAAAATCGCCTGATTTATTAACATTTTTGATTCCCCTTCCTCCAACCCCTATAAATCTAAACTAATCTCCAAATGTTATTTAGATAATCACATTTATGGAACACAATATGGCTTCTTTGGAGGTCCAGCTTTGTCAATAATTCTTTGTTATATTTTAAATTTATATGGCAATAATGTTCCTCCTCCAATTTTTATTTTATTAAAAAATACTTTAGAATTATTTACTTTTAGGTAATTATTAAATAAATTTAAAAAAATTATAATTTCTTTAAAAAAGATTTTGGAATTCACCATTAATGTTAGAAATTCCTCAAAATTATTTAAATATTCGAAATTTGTTAGATTGGAATTTAAATAAAGAAGCAGAAAATCGTTTAAAATTAATTCCAACAAATTTACGTAATTATTTAATTAAACATTCACAAATTATTTGGCCAATTATAACCCCTGGTTTTCCTACACAAAATGTTTTGTTTAATATTAATGATTCTACTTCACAAATAATAGAGAGGGAAGTACATAAAGGATTACAAAAATTGGTGATATTACAAGATAATATTAATCAAAATAAACCTTTATGGACTGTTAAAAATCTTTGGGGAAATTTTTTGAGAAAAGAAGAAAACTTTGAAGAAAAGGTATGTTAGTTATCGAAAAAGCCAAGAATTTGAAAACCCAGAGCCGAAGCTATAGGATATACATATTAGAAAGTATAGTTCTCTCGTTTGGACTAGGTTGGTTGATTTGGATATCTGAATCTGAAAAAAGGTCCGGATATCAGTAAAATTTCAGTTTGGATATCGGTTCTAGATCAGGATATCCGGGGAGTTCCCAGCATCTGTCTGCCATACTTAGGACATCTGTTTCGCGAGAATGTATATTCCCTAATCAAGAGCCAAAAATTTGAAATTAAAGCATCGCAAATAGCCCCTTCTTTCTTTTTCATTGAATCTCATTAAGGAGTCTTCTATTAGAATGTAAAGTTAATAATTTTTATCAATTTTAAGTACAAGCATTATTTGTGTATTGTGTGTAGTTATTCAAATAAAAGTGAATATGGTGTTGATTTTTGTGATTTTGTTGGAACTAGAATTAGATTACAATTATTATTTTCTATAGAAATATTGCCGTTTATTTCTTTTTGTCATTTAAATCCAAAAAAATTAAAAAAAGAAAATGAAAAATGTTTTTTAAAAAAAGAAGAAGAAAATAATTATTGTACAATTTGGTTAGTAGGGATTTCAACAAAACAATGGTATAAACAAAAATTTGAAGGAAATGAGTGGGAAAATGCTTTAAAAAATTTTGTATATTATATTGAACATTTTGGTTTTAGAAAAAAATATCCAGAAATTTCAGCAAAAGAAGGGGGGAATTTATTTAATTTAAAGGTTTTGTATTTAACTGATGAACAAGTCAAGAATAAATGGAATTTATAAAAGAATTAATTTTTAAAAATAATTTTTATAATCAGATTTGAGTAAAAAAATTCTGAAATACCGTAAAATAAATTGTAAAGCATATAGCTATTTAATTCCAAAGGCTATGATGCAGTCTTCGCTTTTTATTAAAATTTATTTATTTATATATGTAGTATAATACCGTAAATTCTCTAATAGAAGCACACCTCTAAAAAAATAGAAGTACTGTGCTTCAATTGGGGAATTTGTAATATCTCCTAATCAAACCAAAAGTGTTTTCATATCGAGTTGTCAACTCTAGAACTTATTCTTTTCGTTTTTCAAAATATTACTAAATCAAACAAAAGAATAATTTATTAAAAAATATTTTTTAAGTGATCACTCATTTTTATCAATTTTTTGAAAATTAAAAACTTCAACTTTATTTCCAATATAATCCATTGCATAAATTTTATCGTCATACATAGCTAATGCAGTCCAAAGCCAGAGTCTTTTTTCATTAGCTTGTTTTTCTTGTTTTATTCTTAATCGTGCTGTTAATTTGCCATCCTTTGAAAAATAATTACAGATTTTAGAAAACCAAAAAAAATAAATTGGGGAATTTGTTAAAAATATTTTTAATAAAAGAGCTTTATATCCCGGTGAAGCTCTACTGCCTACGCAATACTCACAATTTACTTTATTATAATGGGTGAGCATTTTCCCCAATGGGTGATCAACTTCCTCTTAAAAGTGAGCATTTTCTTCCTTCTATTTTCAGCCCCACAATCTTTATTTTAATTCTTTCCAACTTTTTTTTCCAATATTTTATTAAAAGAGCAACTTCAAAATAATTCTTATAAAAAAATTACCAAATTAAACATCAACATTTCACGCCTCATTCTACTTGCAGCGATTAAAATAGCATTTCCATCTGGACCAGTAAGCATTTGTAAAGCACTTATTGACATTGTTGGATTGGATTCTAATGTGTTGTTAATTTCATTAAATGTTCGTAAAATTTGTCCATTTTGTACGGCAATTTGAAGAATCCCAGAGGGACAGGCAACTAATAAAGAACGGGTTTTTTGTTCTCCACCCCGTGCCAAAGATTGGCAATGTTGGTGAGACAAACGAATCGGTAAAGGAGAATTGGCAGGTTTTAGCTTGTTGGAAATATTGAAAGCATCAATGCGAGCTTCAAATCTTCCTAACGTGTAAACCTTGAAGAAAAAATATTTTTAGTTAAAAATTAATCACATCTTACTGTTCAAGGATTTCGATTAAAATCTTAATTATTGAATAAAATTACAGTTAAACGTTTTTAGACAACCCTCATAGGTTGGAGGGTTGTTTAATTAGTTACGACTGCCAGAGGTCAACCAAATTCTAAAAACGTATCATATATTCGGAGTATATCTTGCTTTGAGGTATTTTTTTTCAAGGTTTCAATTTTATTGTGATTTTTATCATAGTAAAAAAGTAATCACAATGGTCAACTCAACAGTATATTAAACTCACATACAATATTTCCTTCGACAAATATCTCTTTTGCTGGTCGCTCCAATATTTGTTCTGCCAAAATAATTCCTGTTTCCATATTACACATTTGTAAAAGCTTAAAGCTTGAATCCAGTACAACCGCAAAAGTAGAATTTAATGGTCGGAGGCGATAAATTGACATTGGCAGTTTCATTAAACGTACAACACTAACAAATAAATTTTTTATTGAGATATAAGCAGGAAAAAATCAGATTAAACAAATATTTTATGCCAATGATTATCATTGGAAAGTATTTAAAGCTATTAGGCTCCAGATGGATCTGAGCTAAGGTTTTGGATTTTCATTTATATGTATCCTAGCGTAAGGCAATTTAGAACTTGCTTGGTTTTTCCCAGACTCTCTATCTTAACTAGTAGATATCTGCGCATCTTTAACATTTCAATTAAATAATTTAGTAACATAATAATTTTTACTTTGTATCCAGTGCCCTCAATTCAATCAGGCCATCAGCTTTAGCTAATAATAAACGTTCCTTCCATTCATTATCCAAAACTAATGAAAGCCCCATAAATTTAGACTCTCCATTAGACGGTCCAAACTCTGTGATCTTCTCAAGTAAATATTCATTAATTGAAGGCTCTTTAGAAGGAATATTTGGCAATGAATTATTTTTGGGATTCTGTATATTTTCAGAATCGTCTGGAAATATTGTAGAATTTGTTGTTGTAGTAATTAAGGTAGTTGTTGTTGTTCTGGGTAAGGGAAGGGCAATTCTGTGTTTTCCTTCTAGCAAGGAATCAGGCTGATCAGTGGCCAAAATTAAAAGGCTAATAATTGCTATTAATGCACTAATTAATAAAAGAGAAATTAAAAAATAGCTTTGGGCTGAATTCATTTTTTATATTTTTTTTGAATATATTTAGAAAATAAAATTTTAGTTTCTTTTATTTTTAGAATAAATTTATGTATGTACATTCCAAATATTTTTATTGGGTTAGTAAAACTAAAAAGATTTTATCTTAATAATTAAAAGTTTTTCGATTTCAATCAAGACAATGAGAAATTAAATAATAATGAACTGAAAAGGAAAATAAAAAATATTTAATCAAAATTAAAGGATACTTTGAAAATTTTAAAAAATTTTTAATGTTAGAAAAGTAGATTTTCGAAGTCATCGAGATTGGAAATAATTTCGCTTCATTTTTTGTTTTATAGGTGAGGAGCTTTAAAGTTGAAACTTTTAATTTAAAAAATATTATGTGATACTGTGTGAGTTCGAAAGTTTAAAAATGTTTCGATTTTCGTTTTTTTCATTTTTCGATTTTTAAATGTTTCCCTTTTTGGGAAAAATATTTTTAAAATTTTAAAATTAAAGTCTAACAATTCTTAACAAGTTCGCAAAATTAATTTTAAGTTATGCCTAAAACCAACATTTGTTTTTGTAAAATCCAATTAAAATAAAAATTAATTTTTAATTTTATTCGAATAAAAAAACAAAATATATAAATGTGGCAACCAATAGCAAAAAAAGAAAATAATAAAATAATATCTGTGAAGAAAATAAATGCGTAAATGTTTATCAAAAATATTTTTTTAATTTTCAAAAATTATGCGGAAAGGGGAAAGTTGATTTATTGTAAACTCCTCATTTAATATTTATTAAAAGCAGCTTGAACCCCCTCAAAATTTTTATGAAGGTAGCCAAGGTAGGCAGAGAATGAGGGAAAAAATTTTTTCAGACCGTTTATCCCCAAAAATTTCATTTTCAATGTGTCTCAGCGAAAAATGCTTTTTTGTCCACTAATCTAAAACGGGAACTTTTGGTAATAATCTTTGTTATATAAAAATATATTCTCGTCAGTGATAGTTTACAATAAATAACTTCTCGTACATAGAAAAATTTCAGGTAAAAGATTTAATTACCAAAGCTTGGAATTTAAAAATAATTGAAAAGATCGAAAAATAATTCAATACAAAAAATTATTACCTAATTTACAAACAGAAAGCTTAAATGAATTTAAAAGAGAATTATTTTCCAAACTTTAGGTAATAAAAAAATTAAATAATAAGAAATATTGAGTTAAAAATAAAAAATACTAACATTATTTTTATTTATGCTTAAGAATAAAATTAATAGAAGAAAGAAATACTAAAAATAAATAAAATTAAGTAAAATTAAAATTAAATTAGTTTTTTTAAATTTAATTTTAAAATAATTAAAAGGCAAATGAACGTGGATTTTTAACATAAATTTCAAAAAAAAATTTTTTTAATTCAAAATTTATTTAAAATATCCACAGACACATATGCCCTTTCCAATTTTTAATTAAATATTTTTTTTAGAATTTTCAAGTTTATAGAAAAAAATGTAGGCACTTAATTAGTTAAATTTTTAAAAAAATTAAATTTATTTAATTTTTTGGTGAAAATAACAATGTTAGTTTTATTTAATGACATAATAAAAATGAGATTGCATATAAATACAATAAAATATAGTGGAAATATAAATAAATAATGAACATTGTACAGCAATGATCAAAATAAGGATTCGAAAGAATTTTTGAAAATATTGAAGTAAGGAATTTTTAAAATTTTATTTTTAGAGGGGGGATGTGTGTATATTGATTTCAAGAAAAAAAATTTTTTTACGAGGAGTCTAAGGGAAAATTAAAAAAAATTTTCTTTGATTTTCCCAACCAATACAATATTAGTATATCCCCCTAGAAACTAATAGACATTATGTAAATTTAAAAAATTCCTTCCCAAAAAAAGATTAAACACCAATAAAATGCAAAAAAGGCTTAGAAAAAAGAAAATTTTCGGCAGAAAAAAAGACAACGTTTAAAATTAATTTTTAAGAGTTTTTTTGGGATGAGAAGACAATTATAATATTATAAATAATTATGTGTTAAAGAAATCCCTGAAGAAAATTTGAGGCAAATGAGTGTATTCGATGAGGGTTTGGAAATGTTAAAGACAGCAAAATTAGGCTCTTTCGACGGATATTATTGCTTAGGCAAAAATAAAAACCATATATGGCGGAAATAGTTAAAAATAAATAAAAGTGAGTGGAAATTAATTAGAAAATGTTAGAGTTCCAAAGTCTCAAAAAATGTCTCATAAATTCAAAAATATCCTTTAATTATTCCACTCACTTAAGTAAAAGACACGTTTATTGCTGGGTTTTAAAATTGAAAAAACTTCAATCTCAAAAAATTGCAAAAAAGAAAGAATGGCGTTAAATGGGATTAAATGGGATATTTTGTCATTTTTCAACAAAATAATGCCAAATTATTAATGTCACCAAGCTTCATTTTCTTCATCTTGAAAAGTATCTTTTGGTGGTGTTCCCTTCTTCTTTCCTCCCTTTTTCTGATTACCGCCACTCGATCCTCCACTTGTAGTTGTTCCAACAGAAGATTCTCTCAATGGCGTTCTTTCATCAACACCGCCGCCGCGTTTCTTAGCCTGCGGGGTGCTTTCCCTTTGCTTTGATGTTGCTTTTGTGTCAGTAACTTTCCGCTTGGCTTGTTGTGATGTCCCCTTTTGAATGCTAGTATTGCTGCTTTCATCCCCTTCCTCTTCTTCCTCATCTACTTCCTTCTCTTCATTCTCATCCCCTTCGGGTACTTTCATTGTTAATGGTTGTTCTTCATCTACTTCTGGTAAACCAGCTTCATTCATCCGTTGTAAACGCCCTTTGCTGTATTTCTTCCTGTCAAATGCGCTATTGCCAAATGCTGACTCCCGCCCTACTTCCGCTGCCATATTTGGACAACGACCTTTCATGCTTCCAACAATAGCTGTTGTACTGGGAATTGATCCCATTTCGAGTGTTGTAGCCGTTACTGGCGCTAAAAATATTTGTAAAAATTTGAAAGAAAAATTAAAATTTAGAGATAGAGTAAGGGTGGCCCGTACGATTTTTCTAAATAATAACCAGAAATCCTGAGGGAATTTTTCTCCTGGAACTGGCCAAAATTCGATATTTTAAAATTTTTAATATTCAAAGAGTTAAGCACCTGGAGATTTAGGCGTAGGAATTCCAGAAGAGGAGATTGACTTCCGGCCACCCATAGCGACAGTTGGTGCATCCGAAAAGGACATTGAAGGTGGAGTTGCAAAAGGTGCAGTTGGCATGACATGAGGATAAGTGTTGTTAAGCTTCCATCCGATAGGTGAACCAAGCTATAATTAAAGATTTTTAAAAATTAAACAAATGTTAAAGTTAATATTTTTGAAAAAAATTTATCCTATTCAAGGAATTGGGAAAGTGCCCAAATATACCTAAGCAAGGAAAAGCGGTGATAAACTATAACAACGAAGACATCTTAAACAATCTGCAGTGAAGAAAAATCCTCAAAAAAATTCAACAAGATGAAACTGAGCTCTCGACGAAAACGTATTTCAAAGCAAAAGAGCATCACGACCCTGGACCTCTTTCCTAAGCTATTCTACAGAAGAACCTCGGACTTATATCAGGTAGTAAAGTGGTAGTCCGAGAAGGGCGACGGGGTTCTAATCTAAAGGTAATATTTGGATTTAAAAATAAACCAGACATAAGTCAACAAGGTTCAACTGTAAATTTATCAAAAATTAAAGCAACAACAAATATTGCAAAATTATTAGTAGCCATTGTCTTATAGCGTAATCATATAACAAAGTCTTCAATATAGTCCAAGTATTCGAAATATTCAAGAATTCGGGCCGTTATTAGGAAAGACGTATCCTTTACCAATAAAAATTCAATTTACTAGAGGACTTGACGGGAAGCTAACAAAATCTAAAAATTGATGTAAATACCAATCAAGAAAACCAACACAAAAAACATTCTAAGAACGCTATTAGACAAGCTATTATATTATAATATTAAAGGGTATATACAAAAAATTAGGAGAGATATTATAAATCTGGGAATATATTAAAAGTTAAAATATTATGAGATGAAATTTTTAAAGGCAGATATATCCAAAAATATTTTTTGTTGAATTTTTAAGAGGTAATAAAATTTTGGCTTAAGGCAAAAGTCTTTGGAGATGCTCCCAACCAATTCCTTTTCCTTTGTTGTACATAACGCTGACCTCTCTATTTTCCATTCCGTCGCCATTTTGAGGTGGTGGTGACATTGGATATGATGAATCATTCATTCCCAAAGATGCGCGTTGTCGTCTTTTCTTCTCCAACCATCGTCCAAACAGTGCTGTACAGAATGCACTTGCTACAACACGATCAGTATGGCATTCGATAAAGTAGAAGTAGAGGAGTTGGCCCATCTTAAATAAAGCATTATTAGTTAGTTTTGTGAGTCTAGTCAAAAACAAGTGGGTCCGAAAAATATATATAAATATGGCTTGCGATTAAAGTTGGTCCCTGACGGGGGGAGGATGGCCAAGTGGAATCTTTTCGGGAAGGCAGCGCCACAGAGGGGAGACGGGGATGGGGAAATTTTTTTTCTTTTTTCACGTGGGAATTTTCAAAAAAGCTTTCAAATTCCCCGACTTTCGAGGAAGAGACCAACCCTACTTGTGATCTAGCTCAAAAAAGAGGAGGCCAAACTAATAGTAACTCAGAAAAATAATTTCCAAGAGATTAGAAACCCTTAAATATTTTTCGATTAAACTCTAAAACCTACTCTAAATTCTTCAGCAAATTTAATCATCATTGTAAGTTCCGCATCACTAAATCCATCAGCATTTAACCATTTCCTTGTAACCCATTTTCTACGTTGCCTTTTATTTCTCATTCGAATAGCCCATTCTACCCAGAAGAATAAATTGCCAACATTTATTAACGTTAAGAAAACAAGCATAACCCTGAAAAGTGATTAAAAGTTAGCATTCAAATATTTTTTTTAAAAAAACCTACCAAGTAAACAAAGCTGTCCTTTCATGCCAATTTGCATCCAAATAGCAACGATAGGTTAGCGTGTGTGTGTTGCCGAGCGAAACAAAATGATAGTCACAATAAGTAATTCGAGGCACCAATGGAACGAGCATACTTCGATCTCTGTGTCCAGAAAATTCGAAGAATGGAGCAAGTGGATTTCCTTGCCTATAAAATGAGAAGTTAATATTGAAGTAAAAGTATTCAGATTTCGAGTTTATGTAGACCCTCAAGTTTAATTAAATTTTGTAGTTTAGGTAGCTTGGACAACCGGAACAACGGATCTATTTAAAATATGCCGACCTTCTATAAGATTACGATTTTTCAACCCCAATAATCTAAACCAAATAGAGGTCCGAATATATTAAAATTAGGGCTGGAGGCCCGATCCGGCCCGGTCCGAAAGATCAAGTCGGGCATTAAATTTTGACCCGAAAAATGAAGCCCAAAAAGACTCGGTCTGGCCGGCCCGAAAAAAAATGACTCGAAGCCCGACTTGAAAACCCCAACCCTAATTAAAATTAGCACCGCTCATCAATTAATTAGTTAACTTTCTGATTGCTCATTTGTTAGAAACTAATAAAAGATTTAAACCTACCAATCTCTACCCTCCCACCAAGCTCGCATAATATCAAATCCCCAAGACCGATAATTAGCACCAATCATCAATGGAAGAACAAATAGTAACAAAATAAGTGGTGCCAATACAAGTGAAAATTCAAAGGCGAGAAAGGCGCCAAATGCTCTGAAAAAAATAATTTTTGTAATTTTTTTAATGTTTGAGTTTTTAAATTTATTAATTTACTTTAAAAATATTTTTTAATTTTCAAAAAAATCCCCACCTTGAAGAATATGCCGTTCTAAAATTTTCAGCAACAACAGACAGCCTTTCCAACAAACGTTCTTCATCTACTTCAATAATTCCATCAGTTTCTACAGTAACCGATTGAGAAGCGCTAATAACGTTTGGGAAGTTGATACCTAAAAATGAGAGGAATTTTGAATGTTGTGACTTATAGGGGGTTTTTTTTGGCTGGACCGATTTGGACAAATGAGGTGTCATTCGAAAGAGCTCGCCGAGCTGAGTCGAACTAGGGGCGAGTGGAGTCGATCCGACAATCAGGGACCGAGATACAGACCCCTGAAGTTTGAAAAAGAGAAGGGGGGAGTAAGCTCATTTTGGGGTGAAAAATTAGAAAATGCAAATAATAGCTCATTCGACTCAGCTCGTCGAGCTGAGTCGAATGACACCAAAATCAGCTCGATATCTTGATTTTGAGCCAAAATAAACAGGTTAAAAATGGTCAACATAAACCTATGGAGCGTCGACGAGGCGCTTGTGCGAAACCCCGCGCTTCGCGCGGGGTTTCGCGGCACGCGCCTCGCGGGGAGTCAACGGTCGCTGGGTCTGGGTCAGTAACATAAACCTATTCCTATCTCTCTTGCTCTGGGCGTACTTGGGTCCTCTGTAGCAGCAAAAACCTCACAATGACCATAGGTAAGGAGCTAAAACAAACGATCATAACTTTGTCAAATCAAGTCGGATCTCGGTGATTTTGATGTCATTCGACTCAGCTCGACGAGCTGAGTCGAATGAGCTATTATTTGCATTTTCGAATTTTTCACCCCAAAATGAGCTTACTCCCCCCTTCTCTTTTTCAAACTTCAGGGGTCTGTATCTCGGTCCCTGATTGTCGGATCGACTCCACTCGCCCCTAGTTCGACTCAGCTCGGCGAGCTCTTTCGAATGACACCTCATTTGTCCAAATCGGTCCAGCCAAAAAAACCCCCTATAAGTCACAATACCCGGAATTTTAAGTAAAAATGATTCGAAATGACAGTAAATCACCTTGATTTTCCATTAATAGAGTCCATACAAAACGTGTCAGAACATACATAACGAAGACAATTGGGCCCCAAAACCAGAGAACCCATTCAGGGTTTTTAACTTCTCTCTGCGTTCTCCAAGAAGGATCGAGAGAAAATTGTTCATTAACGCCAACATAATAGCGCTTTGCTGTTTCACAATGCCTTTTGGCATCGTCGTCTAATTGTGTTCCTTCAAAATTGTAAATTGAGGCACCGCGGCATGTGGACTCTTCGAGGGCTATTTTTGATCTAAAATTGATTAAAATGAGGAATTTGTAGGGGATTTTTATTAACAATTAATTATATTAGGCCGAAGCCTCAAAACAAAAATAGAAAAGAAGTAGTTCTCTGTAGAAAAATATTTTTTAGATATACATATTTTGATGATAAATATAGTCCTATAAATTTTTTTCGCTTGAAAATTTTCCTTAAAATTATTTGATTAAATTACAGTAATTACTCGAAACAAGGGATGAATTAAATACATAGACATAATTTCTATTCGGTAGACCAAAATTCAAAACTTTTCAGATTGAAAACCCCAAAATTTTTAAAAATACCATTTTGGAAATTTTCTGAGCCGTCTGAAAATTTTTCAGTAAAAAATAAGTTATTGGGCTCAATTACCGTAATTACTCAAAAACAAGGAATGAGCTTATAAGATAAAACCTAGACTTGTACTAAAATTCTGTTCGACTTTCAGGCTAAAACCCCAGAATTTTTTTGAGAGATCAAAATAAATAAGGAAAATTTTCACAAAATTCTTTTTAAAATTAAAAATAAACTTACAGTTTAGTTGTCCATAATACTGCAAATACGAACATAGTAAAGCCGGGAATTACCCATAAGTTGCCTTTGTCCATGCGATCCCCTACAAAATTAAAATAAATTTAACAAAAAATATTTTTTTAAAAATATTCTTACCAATGCCATCCTTTAACAACGGCCTGGCGAGGGCTTTTAATTTGCCGCTGCCGCCTTTCCACAAATGATTTAAATATTCGCTTCCAAGCATTGTGGATCTGTTGTTACCATTCAATTAATTAATATAAATAAATTGAGATCTCTAAAAAAATAAAATAAAAAGTTTAATAATCAATAAAAAATAAAGAGGAACGCGTAAATAAAAAATAAATATCATAAATAATCCGAAGGGGAACAAGACACAAAAAAAAATAAAACACAAATAAAAATATTTATTTTGAGGTAAATTTGAGGTATTTTGAGCTAAACAGAAAAAATTTTGGAAGAAAAATGAAGTTTAGAAAATACCCCGACCCGACAGTGCAGGGTATGGCTCTGGGAGATGGATGGAAGGTGGAAGAAGTTGGAAGAAGCTAGCTGGTAGCGGGAAGAAGCTGGCTCTGGGAGCTGGAAGAAGTTGGAAGAAGCTGGCTCCTGAGAAGTAGCTCCGAAGTCAGCTCCCGAAGTCGGAGCTAAGATATTTTGAAAGGGGTCGGTCGGAACTGGATCGACAAAAAACACCAATACCCAACGCTGATACTTACTACATATTAGGACTCAAAAATAGAAGGGAGAGTTTTAATTGTTAAGGATTTCATCATAAATTTCAAAATAAAATTTCAAAACTTGCAAAAGAAAAGAAAAAATTTTAGGAATAAAATGAAGTGTATAATAAAATACTCGAAAGTGCTGGTGTGGCTACCGGAGTTAGTTCCGATGCTGGATCCCGAAGCCTGAGCTAAGGGTCGGAGCTAAGATTTTGAAAAGAAGTCGGAGCTGGATCCGCATAAAACACCAATGCCCAACCCAACACTGATACTCTCTATTAGAGCTCAAAAATAGAAGGGAGAGTTTTAATCGTTAAGGATTTCATCATAAATTTCAAAATAAAATTTCAAAACTTGCAAAAGAAAAGAAAAAATTTTAGGAATAAAAGGAAGTTTATAATAAAATACTCGAAAGTGATGGTTTGGTTCCGGGAGCTAGTTCCGAAGCTGGCTTCCGAAGCCTGAGCTAAGGGTCGGAGCCAGGATTTTGAAAGTGGTCGGAGCTGGAGCAACAAAACCCAGCACTGATACTCACTATTAGAGCTTCGAAAATAGGGGGGAAAGTAAACTTAATAAATTTTACTAAAATATAAATCTTCATTTTCCTCCAAAATCCTTCCAAAAAAATTATTTTTTAATCGGTTTCTCATAATAAAAATTAAAAGAAGACTTTATTTCTCCTAAATGCCCTTCCAATATTTATAACAATAAAATGTTTTAAAAAAGTTTATAATAGTCATAAAATTTAGAAAAAAATTATGTTAGCAAGTAGAAAACGAAATAAACTAATAAAAAAATTTTTTTCTTAAAAACCATTAACTGCGCAATCTTAACCAAAAAAGATTTTGTTGTGGTTAACATCGTAAAATAATTTATGACAAAATTTGGAAAACTCTTTTTAATTTTTAATATTCCTGTTTTGAAAATTAAATTTTGTAGAGATATAAAACAATAAAAAATTAAATGAAATTTCTGTTTGTGGCCATCTCAAAAATTTTGTTTTAACAAAAATTCGGGTTGTTTCGAGAAGGAATGTTTTTTATGTTTATGACAATATTGAAGGAATGATAGGTGAGACTTTAGAAGAAAAGGTAACCGAAATATTTGAAAGGAATAATTAAAAGAAATTTTAGATTAAGAAATACTCTTGCATAATTGTAAAAATAATTTAAGCAAGTAGTTAAAATTCGGGGAACAACCCGAAAATTTTTTAATCTTTAAAAGAAATTAGTAAATAAAATTTAGAAAAATTTGTTTTTGGAATTTAGAAGTTTAATTTAATTCCCCCAAAAAATTTAAATAAATAGGAACTTAAATAGCTTTATAAATGCTTGATTAGTAGAGGTAATTAGAAGAGAAAAAAAAACAATCTAAAGGACAAAATTATTTTTTTCTTCATTTATTGGTAAAAATAATTTTTTCTGAAATTTTTCCCAATTTTTTTCTGTCGAGTTTAATATCGCTAGCTGTATCCAAAATAATAATTTAGTAAATTGTTTTTATTAGCCTCAAACGATTTAAACTAAAAATAAAGACTAAAGGGTAAAGGGGGTAAAAAATTAAAAACATTTGAATAAACAAAAAATAAATTGCGAATAAATCCTTTTTTAGATTTGTTTTTGTCGCCTTTTTTTGATTGCCCAAAAATAATAAATTGAAAAGGGGGTATGAGAAAGTACTTATTACTAAATTAATTTTGAAATAATTTAAAAATAAAATAAAGTCTGGCAAAATTAACTCATGCTAAGGACATGATTTAAAATAAACTTTTTAATTTTGGCAAAAGTTTGAAGGAAAATTGTAGAAAATAAAAATTAATTTTGGTTAAAGAAAAAATTTAAATCCTCCAAAAAATAGCCTAAAATAAATATCTATATTTAGGAGAGAATTTTTCAAAATAAAAGTTGCCAGTTTAAAACAGACCTGTGCATGGACACGGATACAGATATTATCAATTGCCTGCGGATATGCGTCTGTATCCGCCGTATATAGCCGGATACTGATACCAGAATTAGTGTCCATGGAGAGGTCTGCTTAAAATTGTCAAATTGAATGGTCAAATAAAAAAGGGAAGGTAATTGTTTAGTAATAAAAAAAAGTAAGAAGAAGAAAAAAAGTTAGTAATATTCTAACAATAACAAACAACAATATCCTCCCCTCACCCCCTCAAACCCCCTCCCCTAAAATTCAATTTGTTGACCACAAAAACATTGTTTGTTTATTTGATCTTTAATTTAATATTAAAAAGTTTCGGCAACGATTAAGCATCAAAAAAAGTAAAAATGAAAAGGGGAAAGGCAAATATTAAATTTTGTTAAAAAATATTTTTAACGAGGGAGAAAAATAAAATGAAGGGGAAGGGGGAAGGAAAAGCGCAATAGCTAAAAAGCAAATGCCCTTCCTCGTCTTTATGTCAAATAGCGCGGCTAAAGACGGTCAAATGACTGTCAAAAAATATTTTTATTAAATAAAAATAAAATTATGGGAAAAGAAAAATAATAATGATGGAATTTAGACAATATGGCATCATTCCGGAAATTTGTTAAAATTTAATTGAGGGTGGAGAAATAAATAATTAAACTTTAAAAAAGGGCAAAAGGATAAGCAATATGTAATATTACAATAAATTATGCAAGTGTTATGAAAATAAAAAGTTTAAAGGATTGGGAAAAAAGTCAAAAGTGTAATCATGATCGAATAATAGACAAAAAAATAGATAAAAAATAAAAATAGACAAAAAATGTTTCATAAAAAGGTAATATTTTAAGGCAAAAATTAAGTTTAAAATAAAAATATTTTGAAGATTTTAGCTGCATAAGATAGGAAAGGTATGTAAATAGTAAAAGTTGTAAAATACAAAAAAGATATATGTAGATTTAATAGGAGTCAACATACAGAAACGGTTAAATCAGGAGGATATTTCTACAGCTACACTACTGGTTTCACGGCCTTCCGACAATGAGACTTGGACTTGTCCTATTGAAAAGTTTTTGTTTTAGAACCAATGTAAATACAGAAGCTGTTTTTGTCACCGCAATCCCGATATGTCTCCCTATTATATTTAATACCCCCTTTTAAACAATCCCCCAACTAATTGACAGATCCCGAATAAATACATATAAATTTCAATCGTCTGGACAAATCAAAAAAAGTAAAAGCAATAAAAAAAGAGCAAAACCAATCGACTATATTTCTATGAATCATTGCTTTTTTAATTGTGAAGGCGGCGTGAAAATAAGCTTTAAAAAGGGTAAAAAAGCAAAATTGAAAAAGCGACGATTCAAATCGATCGCTATCCAATAAATAAATATAGCTATTTGGCCAAATGAGTAGGTTGTTGTATTGCGAAATATTAAAAAGGGGGGATAAGCGCCAAGTCAGAAGGCAGCAAAAACATTTATCCTTTCCTCCTTCCCCCAAAACAGCCGCTACTAAATATATAAAAATACTTTTATTTTTGCACTTTTTTTAGCTTTTCTTTTGTCCTCCGGGGCTTTTTGCTTTTTAATTTTCTTTTCAATCACATACGTATTGTTGAGGAATTTTTGTTAGAAAAATTGAAAAAAAATAAATTGTTGGGTGGTATCTCAGAAATGCAAAAAGGAAATAGAAAAAAAAAAGATTTTTTTAGTTTAGTATGTAATTGCGATGATTAAATATAGAAAAAAATAATTTTGAATGTAACGGGTTTATAACCAACAAAAATGAATTTTTAATTAAATTTTTAAAATAAAAAAATTAAATGAGAAGTTAGATTATTTTAGTAAAATTAAAAAAGTATAAAAAATTTTGTAATTAAAAAAGCCCATAAAAGGTAAATTAAAATAAATTTAGAAATAAAATGTTTCATCAAAAAATGTTTCGAAATTGGCTAGTCAGGGGATTTCAAAATAATAAATTTTTAGAAAATTATGAAATATAGGAATGTCGAACTAAACAAAACAAGAAAACATAAACTATAGTAAATCGCGATTTCAGAAGTCGAAACAAATTTTAAAATAGAAGAGAGCCAGTTTAAGATATGTATGTTTTGGTTAGCTAGCGAGTTGGGCTACCCAACTCACTGGCCTAATTGTAAGTGATATCTTTAATATGGGACACGCCCAAGTAGCCGCGCGGCCATAACAAAGCCATACTTGCTGGAAAACTTCGGGCCCTAATCAATTTTGATACCAATCTCTTTAGATCGATGAGAGGAATTGTTTAATACTAAATTTGGTGTGATTCGGAAACTTTTAAGCAAGTTATGGCTTTGCGCCGTTATGGCCGCGCGCCTACATGGGCTGCACCCTTTAATATATGCAAATACCAAGAAGTATCTAAAAATGAGGTTTTTGATCGAATTCTTCGAATTTTTATAGACTGTGCCGGATAATTCATAAAATAAAAACATCAAAAAATAAATGAACATGGAACTAAAAAAACAAAAAAATATACAAAAAACGGAGATTCAAACATTTAACAATTTTAGACTAACTAGCAACAAAAATTTAAAATTAAAACTTGAAAAAACTGCATTTAAACATAAAATATGCAAGGCTGGAAAAGCTATTGGGGAAAATCTTTTAAAAATTAAATAGATAAAAAATCGAATATATTGATTAAATGGGGGAATTAAATTTAAATAAAATTTAAATTAGCAAGGCTAATAAAATATAAAATAAATTATTCTCTTATTGAAATTGCAAATGTTTAATTTCTATTAATAAATTTAAAATTTAAAAAAATGGCTAAACAAATAATTTAGAAAAAATAAACCCCCCCCCCCCCCAAAATTTTTTTCCTTTAATAAAAAAGAGGAAAATATTCGCGTAACAAAAATAAACTAGCAACTATTTCATTGTTATGCAAAAAATTTTTTTCTTTTCTATTGCAAGTTTTGAAATTTTATTTTGAAATTTTTTATGATGAAATTCTTAACGATTAAAAAAACTAAAAGCATTGTTGTATCAAAACAAGAAAAAAAATAATTTTGTTGAGTCGAGACGGCAATTATACAACAAATAATGGAGAAAAAACATTTTTTTGTGGAAGAGGGTGGAGGAAATTTTTATGTATGTACAACCTATGATGACGAAATAATTTTTTGCAGAGAGGGGAATAATGAATGTGTGGGGGAGAGGGAGAGAGGGGAGGGAGAATATAAAAAAAGGAAAATGACTGGCGGAGAAAGGAACGCCGCCGCTCTCGACTGACTGAAAGGGGCATTTAGGCATTTCGCAAGCGCGGGCTTATGAAATATTTAAAAGCTAGTCGCGCGGAGAAGAAAGAAAGGAACTTAAAAAGGGATTAAAAAACTTGGCAATAACATTGAATATTTTCTAAAGTATTTTGAGAAAATAAAGGAAAACAAAAGAAAAAGCTTTATTGAGGGAAAAAGCACTAGGCTTTATTGAGGGAGTCAAAAAAAAAGAAAAGGCGAGCGCAAGAGACAATTGAGAAAAACGCAAAACATCACGTGCTTGTATCTAGTTCGGAAAGAGACAATTCTCAAATTATAAACACCTTATTTTCTAGCCCCACTCTCAATTCGAATCTCATCTTGAAGTGTCCCACCATGGAGTATGGCTAATGTAAGAAATAAAGCCACACGGTGTTTTACTATTATAGAAAATTCGGTATTTTACAAGTGAAAAAATAAGGAAAGTTTTTTCAGGTCTGCCTAACAAACGGAATTTGCGAGACCAACAATACACAGAATTAGCTGCTCAGAATTTCAAATACACAGAATTTCCCGTTTTTCCTTTCGATTTTTAATTTTCATTGGAATACTACATATAATGTAGTATGAATAAGTATGAATTCGTACGAATTTAAATTTAAAAAATTGAATTTCGAGCTTGGTCAGAATTATAAACAAGACAAAAAACCTTTAAAATTTTGGGCATAAAATTTTATTATTTTATTAAGAAATTGGATTACAAATCGATTGTTTGGTTTTTTGCTTCTGCGCAGTGGACATTACTCTCCCTTCACTAAAAAATTGCCGCCATCTACCCATTTTTGCAAAAATTGATGACCCATAGAAGGACGATGACATTCTGAGCTTTTGGCAAAAAAGTCTAGAGAGACTATAAGGAATGAGAAAAATACAAAAAAAAAGAAAATAATGCGTGTCCGGACAAAATATCGAATCGTTAAAATATGGAATAGGCTAAAAAAGGGTTAAAATCTCGAATCGGGTAAAAAGGGGTTAAAATCGCGAATAGGCTAAAAAGGGGTTAAAATATGGAATCGTTAAAATATGGAATGGTTAAAATATCGAATAGGCTAAAAAAGGGTTAAAATATGGAATCGTTAAAATATGGAATGGTAAAAATGTCGACACGGCCAAAATTGGTCAAAATGTCGAATTTTTTAAAAATGGCGCCAAAACTAGAATCCGGACGGTACCGTAATACCGATGGTATTTTTCGGTATTCCGTGTCGGTTGTACGGTACGGAATGCCTTCCGATAAAATTTAAAAGCTGATCGGTGTTTTTCGGTATTCCATACCGTATACGGTAAGGTCAAACTTTAGGTCTTAACTAAAAACTAATGCACACCACTATAATTTTTCCATATCAGGATCGCGTTATGTTTTCCGGATCCGTACGATCATGCCGGACCGGATCCGGTGTCGATTATGCTTAATTTATCCGGTCCGGTTTTACTCCGTAAAATACACTGAACTCGGGCAGAAAAGATTGCGCCGGACTACGACATAAGAGACTTATCAATCAACTTATCATCAATAAGTTGATAAGTTGATAAAATTATCAATAATCAATGTATGGCACTCATCTGACCCTTTTTTAAAAGAATTCGACATTTTGACCGATTTTGGCCGTGTCGACATTTTTACCATTCCATATTTTAACGATTCCATATTTTAACCCTTTTTTACCCGATTCGATATTTTAACGTTTCCATATTTTAACGATTCGGTATTTTAACCCCTTTTTAGCCTTTTCGCGATTTTAACCATTCCATATTTTAACGATTCCATATTTTGTACCGGAGCCAAATAATGATGAGAAATGAAAAAAAAAGATGAAAAGAGGGTCTGAGGTAAAAATAATTTTTGTGTTGTGTTCGTTTTTGGAGAGAAAATGGATGGTTTCTCTCCTCTCTTTTTTTAAATTATTCTTCACAGTGGGAGTCGCGCAGCAAAAATTGCGCAGGGGAAGATGTTCAGCAGGCTAATAGAAAATTGTGGGGAGGGGGGGGGGGGGGGGAGAGAAGGGGGGGGGGGGGGGTCTCAAAAATTTTTTAATCTAAAAAATATTTCCAAAGTTTGATGCTTTTTGGATTAAAATTAATAAAATATGGAAAAAGAAGATTAATCTTTGTTATAAAAGAAACTATCGTGATTTTTAATTTTCTTTTGGTTTTTTTTCCAAGATATCGGTGAAATAAAATATTGTTTTTTCTAATCTTAATACTTTTGCTGAATCGCTAAATTAATTAAAAACTCCCTACAGGTGTTCTTTAATTTCTTCTAAATTTATTTAGCAAGTGAATGATTTGTGAGGGATAAAAACAACCAAAAAGAGTAAAAAAAGGAGGAGGTTGTTGCCGATCAACGAGGACAACAAATGATATTGCCTATAGTAAAAAGATTAATGACACTTGGTCAATAGTCATCAATTTTGTCTTTAATTGATTAAAAGGAGGATTAAAATGTGAAGGGAAACTAAAAAGTATTTTATAGAGAAGAGGATCGATCAAAAAAATAATTAAAGAATAAGAGCTGGGCAATCCCGGAGAATTGGGGTCCCTGCGAAAAAAAGTTTAAAAATAAGAAAAAGGATTTTTCTAGGATAAAAAAATATGCTGATTACGAATCCGAGCTCAGATTTTGAAAAAGTCGAATCCCGAACCCGAACTAAATTTCGAACCCTGAACCCGAATTTCGAATATGCAAATGATAGCTCGTTCGAAAGAGCTCGTCGAGCTGCATCGAATGACACCAAAATTAACGTGATTGGACAAGTTTAGACAAAGTTATGACATAAAGTATACCTATGGGAGTACTGTAGGAGTCGGCGACTTATGTCATAACTTTGTCAAAACTTGATCAATCACTGTAATTTTGGCGTCATTCGATTCAGCTCGACGAGCTCTTTCGAATGAGGTATCATTTGTAAAAACTTTTTTTTACTCCAAAAAATCAACCATGTGGTTTTTCAATATTTAGGGGTCTGTATCTCGGTTCAAACCGGTCGGATTTTATTGATTTTGGTGTCATTCGATGCAGCTCGATGAGTTCTATGATTCAATTGAAAGACTGGCCATTTTGTACAATGTATGATAATGTTAGGGGTCAAAAATCCTGTTCGGGATCAAATGTCCGAATTCGGGTTCGGGATTCGACTTTTTCAAAATCTGAGCTCGGATTCGTAATCAGCATATTTTTTTACCCTAGAAAAATTCTTTTTCTTATTTTTAAACTTTTTTTTCGCAGGGACCCCAATTCTCCGGGATTGCCAAGAGCTGTACTTATAGTTCTTAAATAAGGCCTCAGGTTAAATCTTGGTAATACCAAGGCTGGTCCCCCCTTTTTTCTGTTCTATTTTTTTCATTTTCTATTAAAATTATATCCATTCGAAAGAGCTCTTCGAGCTGAGACGAACGGTACTAAAATCATCGAAATCCGACTTAAATCAACATAGTTATGAGCATCTATTTTAATCCCTTTCAACGTCACAAAAAGCATGCCCACAAAGGATTTAGCTCTATAATTTTGTTCAGAATCGCCAAATCTAAAGATCGTAGTATCATTCTACTCAACTCGGACAGCTCTTTCGAATGATATATAATAAATTGTATGTCAAGCAAAAAAGCTTAAAATGGTCAGGGAAACAGAAAAAAGGGGAGGCCAGCCTTGGTATTACCTAAATCTTTATTCAAAGATTCCTTCTTAATAATTATTATGTATGTGCATTTTGGTAACTTTAAAGAAAAAAAAATATAAATTTGCTTTAGGTCAGTGGTTCTAAAGGTGGAAAATATGAGTAGAAGGTAAAAAAGGACGAAGAAAAATGAGAGGAACGCCATTCTGGCGAACAGAACTAAAAGATTATAACCTCAATTTTAGTCTAGTTTGAAGAAAAATCTTCTATTTCCCAATTTTCTCGACTCAATTGGATGTATTGATCCTTTGGGGGGAACGGAGTTGAGGGACAGGAATTTTGCAGGTAAGGGAATTGGGGTGTTCACATTTGCATTTGAGGTAGAGGAAAAAGCCTTTTTGAAGGAAGGTCAATAGTATAAAGAATGGAGGGAACAGAAACAAATGCCAAAATAATGGTAAAATGAGGGAATGTTGGAGGGGGATTTGGATTATATTTTATTTTTCTTAGTGACTGAGAGATTTACGATCGAATGAGAATACTGAAAGGGAAAAGAGAAGTTACTGATCAGAATTAGGATATAAAGCATAGTTAATTTAATAAAGTTGTTAAGGATAAAATAAATTTTGAGAAAGTTAGTCCTTTTCAAGATTTTGATAAGTTATTGGAGTTGAGGAAATCTCAAGGCATTTGAGGAGGTCCTTTTAAGCTATTAAATTTACTCAAAAATCCGGGAACAGTTAAAATAATAGATCAAACTCTGAGATAATAGATCAACTTGTTCTCTGAGCAAATTAATACTAAACTCAGGTTCAAGGGCTCTCAAGGTTGATTTTTAGAAGATCTATATTTCTTATCTGATTACTCATATGTATACTTAAATATCCCTCAAAAAATAAAAGAAAGTCCCTTTTTCTTACAAACAATATTTATTACCTTAAATAGGACATTAGTAAAAATGGGACTTTAAGCAAAAAAAAACATTGGTTGTTGTCATTTGTTATGGGAAAATGTAATATATTATTCGTGCGAAAGGTGAGGAACGGAAATAAGGGTGGACAACAACAAAACCAGAGATGGAATTGATGAGGCGGGGAATTGAAGGTGAAAAATGTGAAAGGGGAGAAAGGAGGGAAACGAAAAAAGGCCGACAGATCTGTACAGCCTGATAGAACGATCGTTTTTCTTTAAACATCGAAGAAATTGTGCAGAAAGAATTGGAGGGGGATATTTTTGTTTTGGGATAAAATGGAAGGATAAATAATAAATGAGGTAGAAATGTTTAAAGTAGAAAACTTTAAGAGAAGAGGGAAAGGCGGAAAAGTTGAAAAACTTCTTTTTTACCTTCTGTTCGATCTTGGAAATTATCCAAAAGAATGAGGGGAATAATATTAATGTATTTCTGAGGGATAAAAGAGGAAGAAATCTTTGTTGTGGAAGTCCCCGAAAAAATTAATTTTCGGGGGATTGTGAGGGTTTAGATTAAAATTATAAAAAGTTGGGGAGGCTAAATATTAATGTTTAATATGGTTTTTATTTTAAGAGAAGTAGAGAGATTGGAATTTTGAGATTTAATATTTAGTTAATGTTGATGTTTTATATTTTGGTAGCTAAATGTTAGTATGTAGTAATCAATTCAAGCTAGAGTTGCATCCCGACCCCGTTCCCGAGGGAGTTTTTCAAAATTTTCCCGACCCGACCCCCGCCCCGAAACAATTCGAAAACCCCGTACCTCGACATACCCGCCCCGGGCGTTCGGGATGCAACCCTAATTCAAACACAAAAAATAGGTAAATTTTTACTAAAAGCCTGGAAAATAAACAGAAGACCCCTGTAAACTGAACTTAGTTTCAAAATAAGAAATTAACAAATATTCATCCCGTAAACCCCTAAAATTAATAGAAGTTATTCTATTTTTGGCCTTGTGCAGGACCCGTGGTAAATCAAGAAAATTCAAGCCTTTAATCAATTTTTATTTGGAATAAATTGACCAAATCTTCGTTTGATTTGATTGGCAAAATTTCTATTTTATTTGATTTGGTTTTCCCTCCAGGCTTTAAACATTCGTTAGCTTGTTAGTTAAAAAATAAAAATATCTCAAAAAAGAAAATTGTAACCACAAAATATTTTTTCTGCAGATCCAGACAAGCGGCTGTTGTTTTATATTTTTATTGAAAAAGGGGGAGAAGAAGAAGTAAATTTATAGTCGAACATTTTTACTTTTGAAGGAAGAATATTTTTGAAGTAAAAAAAAATATATTTATATCAAAATAGTGGATGAAGTTTATGTAGTAATAAGATAAATTACAATAAAAATAAACTTTTAAAAATACTAAAAGTTTAGCTCTTTTAGTTTAAAAAATTAATTTTAATAAATTAATAAAAAATATTATTTTGATTAATAACTCGACATGACTCAGATTTTAATAGAAGATCGGACTGGGAGGATTCTACGAGAATCGTTATCTTGAAAAATATCGTTGGAGCTTTGTATCTAATTATTTAATAGATATTATTTATTATTTAATATACCGTAAATACTCTAATAGAAGCCCACTTCTAATATAAGTCCATGTGAGAGGGCCCATTAAAAAATATAAGCCCATCCTCTTGTATAAGCCCATCTCTAATTTAGACTACATATCTAAGGAGACCCATTGAAAAATATAAGCCCAGGGCTTCTATTAGAGTATTTACGGTATATTTTGAATCTCGTCTCGGTTTAGTTTCTAAAAATTAATAAAAATAAAATTTGTGGTGAATAATTAATTATTTTTTTAATTAAAATTCTCGAATAAATTAACTAAATGAGTTAGTACTTTTACTTTTTTTTATATCTTAATAAAAATTTTTTTATTAATTCAAGCACCACTCAATTCAGTGCTTTGGATTAAAGCAAATATTTTTGAAGGATTTTGGGAGCTTATTTTTTATTAATGTTTGTTTTTATTACTTGAATTTGCGCATTAGTCGAAAATATTTTAAGTGATTTCTTTGGCAAATAAATTTTTTAAATTAATTTATATAAAAGAAGAAATAGGTATTTGCTTCTGTCCATTACACAAAATTGTTTTAATAAAGAAATATGTAAGTATTTGAAGTGATCTAATAAATAAATACAAATAGAGACAGGAATTACTCTTTACTGATTTTATCTTTTAAATTTTTATTAAAATGATTTATTTAGATTAAAAATAAATATTTAAACCTGTAAATTAAAATTACCAATCAAACTATAATTTTATTAAATGGAGTTGTTTGGAGCTTTGTATCTAGGTATGTATTTAGTAGTCATTTAAGACAAAACGGTTTATATTTTGATTTGAAAAATTTTTTGTTTTAAATGACTATTACCGTATTTTTCCCAATAGAAGCGCATGCGCTTCTATTTTTCAACCTCCTCGAAGACTGCGCTTCTATTGGGACGTGCGCTTCAAATGGGACGTGCGCTTGTATTTTTCAACTCCTATACGGATTAATTTTTATACATTATAGAAATTTAAAACCAATATTAAATCTCCATAAAATTATCAATTTCAATTCCGTTTTCATTATTTTCATTAAGATCAATTTCTGCCTAACTTTCTGAAATTTCTTTATCTCTCAAGCTTATAAAGCCTGACCATCTGGCCTAAAACAATGTATTTCATCATTTTCGGAACCGTCACTGGAATTCCAATTCCACAAACTCAAAAGCCTTTTGCAACATTTTCTTTTGAATTCACATCTCATGCTTCAACTATCCATCCCGAATAAAATTTCATTGGTGGTGACCCAAATAAGCAAGCGTTATGAGAACAATGATTGCCCAATAATTGCTCTCAAATATTCGATTGTGAGGGCATCATCCATCCAGCTTTTTCCACTTCATCCCTTAGGCAAGATAGAAAAGAAGTTTTTCCACAATTATAACTCAAAAAACCTTAAATCTTTCGAAAAGAGAGGGATCAGCTCGTTTATGTGAAACAGAGGTAGGTCGGAATTTCGATTTCCTGTGTTTTTTTCCTTCCGATTTCCGAAAAGTATTTTGATTTACGATTTCCGAGTTCCGACTTTTGAGCCAGTTCCGATTTCCGGCTCTTCCGATTTCCGACACCCCTGACTGTTCCGACCCACCTCTGATGTGAAAGTAGTACAAAGGGAAGATTGACTATTTAACAGAGTAATTGCTCAAATAAGTATTTCATAGGGTGCGCTTATAATAGGACGTGCGCTTCTAATGGGACCTGCGCTTGTATTTTTCAACCTCCTCGTAGACTGCGCTTCTATTGAGACGTGCGCTTCAAATGGGACGTGCGCTTCTATTGGGAAAAATACGGTATATATTTATTTTGAAATAAAAATGCTAATTATATTTATCGTGATTTCAATGTTAAATTTAAAAGCCCGACTTTGTTAAGGAATACATATTTCTTTCTGAGTTCCTAAATAATTCAACAATCCTTGTTAACTCTCCTGACAAAACAAATTCCAATTAAAGCACAGTGCTTCTATTTTTCGAGCCTCTCGTAGGCGTGCTTCTATCAGAGAATTTATGGTATAAATGAGACAAACACTTCTGGACAGCTTTTTTTTTAACAAATAACCTGAGTTAACTCTCGTACGTATTAGTTAAGTCCTTTTTATTATCTCCAAAAAATATTTGTCAAAAAGGATAAATTATGGATATATTTTGTACATTTTTTGGAGAAAAATGGTAAAAATAAAAACAAACAAATTCTGACAAAAATATTGTAAGGATGATTCACCTAGCAGCATTTAAAACGCTTAGGCGGGGGATAAACGATCTAAAAAGGAAAAAGAGAAAGCATTAGTCGATGCCCCGGTAGCTCAACGGTAGAGCTCCTGCATATAGTGAGCGAAAGCCTAGCAACAACTAGCAGGTGGTCGCAGGTTCGAATCCTGCCCGGTGGCTAAACTTTTGCAAACTCTTTCTGGTGCCGCTAGCAGGGATCCCCACTTGCTGCTGGGTGAACCAGCCGATCCACGGTCATGGCGCTTGACCGAGGGACCGGTCTGATGTAGGGATGGAGATGTAAGGATGATTCACCTAGCAGCATTTAAAACGCTTAGGCGGGGGATAAACGATCTAAAAAGGAAAAAGAGAAAGCATTAGTCGATGCCCCGGTAGCTCAACGGTAGAGCTCCTGCATATAGTGAGCGAAAGCCTAGCAACAACTAGCAGGTGGTCGCAGGTTCGAATCCTGCCCGGTGGCTAAACTTTTGCAAACTCTTTCTATATTCTAAAAATAAAAATTGCGGTTTTGCTAGAGAAAAAATAGAAAATAATTCTCATGAGATTTGGCTGCCGTTCTTGAAATAATGGGTGCCCTTTTTTGTGATTTTTTATTTTTTGTTAATAATTCCTTGGAGAATTTTTGATATTGAGAAATGGTTGCTAAAAATTTTTATTTTTGGTGCTAAAAATAAAGTGCCAAAAAAGTACTTTTAAATACTAAATATACAAAAATAATATAAAAATATTTTTTAATTAAAAAATGAAGGAATATTTAATTTTATTAAACTTAAGAGCAGAACAGGATAAAAAATTGATAGCACAAGCTGGTTTTTTTTGTAAATTTACTAAATTTATTTATGTAGAAAATTATCTTTTTATTTTAGACTGAATAAAATATTACATTTACCAGAAATAAATTTCCAAACATTTTTTATTTATTAAATTTATTCTCCTAACAAATCACCACGGACATTCAACAAATATATTTATCTAATTTCTAGTATGACTAATAAATGGATAAATTATATAAAATTCAATTAGGACCGACAAAAAAAATAAATTAATGATTTCGGGAATTCCCGATTTTTGAAAATCGGGAATTTAAATTTAAAGTATTGTTCGATTCGGCATCACAGAAAATACCGTCTAAAGTATTCTTTATGGCAAGAAGTTTGATGGTGCATTTTAATCAGTAATATTTTTGGAGTAACATTTTTTTGTAATATTATCACAACAGTTGCAACAATTATCACGTTCACTTTCAGGAGTAGGTTCACAAATTGCTCCATCTAAATCGCAAACTTTTTGACAAGTTCCTTTCTTTTTTCTAGTTTTCGAGGAGCCAACACATGTTATATTTTTATCAACACAACAATCGGTGTCGTACTGGCAATTACCTCCTTCACCGACACATTCTTGTTGATTGGCATTAATTAATTGAAATAATAGTAAAGTTGAAAAGAGAATGATATAAATGTTGATGCCTGTAGACATTTCTGTTGGAATTTAAATTTTAAAATGTTTAAAATTTATTTTTAAAAAGTATTAGGTGTGTTAAATAAAATTTTCTTTATATAATATTCATCAAAATTGATGCAAACATCTTT